TTTATATAAATAAATCCATTACATTTTTTTCTTACAGAATTCAGTGGCTTTTCAAGCACAAATGTAATATTACTTTTCAGAAAGACAAATTACAATCAACTCTAAAATAGGAGCATCAAAAAACCAGACTGTTGATAATAAAAACCGATACAAGTAACTCAATTAAGTAGAAATAAATTTACTCTATTTAGCTATTCTGTTCCAGTTATAAACACTAATCATCAGATATCTTTTTGTTAAATCAATTTTATGCCTCAGTGCCAATATAAAAATAAGACGATGGGGAATTGTTGCCAATGACATACATATCTACAAAAGATCACTGATTTATACAACTTCAGGTCACATAATGGCCTTAAAAAATTAGCAAAACCCATATCTTATTTTAAGTTATGAAAGGACCTGGCATATAAAAAGTGACACTATTCAACATAGAAAACTATTGACCTGATTTAAGGTAATAAGTTGTAATAACCATGTGGACAGCTTTAATTTGAAAGCCTGTCTAACATAACCCACATGGCTCACTCACTAAGCTGTAACAAAGATCCATAAAAGCAGGGATGTAGCTTGTTTGACAAACTTTAGAAAAATATTTAAATCAACAGCTGTAACTGCTTGCTTGAATGATTTTAATCAATTCAAATGTCACAAGAATTTGAAATGTAAAAATCACACTGTTTTTCCTAAAAAAAAATTACAAAAAGAGAAGAAAAATTTAATATTTGAAAATTCATCTATTTTTTCTCAATTTTAGAAGTACAGTAACTCTGAATAAACAAGATTACTTTCATCTGAGTTTGGCTGTAAGTTGTATGTTAACAATTTTACATTTTAAAGCTTAACTTAGGGTGTTGTAACATATTTTGATCAATCCTTATATTTACATAAAACTTTATAAAAATTTGTCACATCAAAATTTAATCCTACTGCTGTTTGAGGATCAAATGCAAATAAACTCATCATTTTATAACTTATGCTTGATGAAAAAGAGTCAAAGACTCAAAATCAAAGCATGAAGGATGTTGTGATTCAGCCAACTTTGTTGCTAGTCTGACATTTTTTCTGACCAAACTTTCAATAATTATTTTGTTATCTTCATTTCCATAATGTCACTGTAAAATTTCTATTCTATTGCCAAAAGATGGAAAATTTTGATGCAAATTATTTTGGTATTTCAATTGAAGACACCGTCAGATTTTTTTTACATATTTTGTTTAGAAACATTTGAAATTCAATGATTTTGACAAGAATGTTAAGGGAAATCTTCAAATGTGTAGCATATTTTCTATATGCCATTAATAATAATTGGCTTTATAATTTCCAGAAAGAGGCATTACAAAAATGCACTTTCTCAAAAACAAAAAAAATTAAAAAAAAACTAACTTTAACTACATTGGTTTTCATTCTTCAGGAAAACTACATTTCCTGTATTCAAATATACATGTACGAATACCTAATGCTGAGATAATTCCAATATGTTGTTCACCCGACCTTTTCTTAATTATAGGACAAATAACAAATCAAAAGTTGGCAGTTGATGATTAAAATGGTGTATAAAGTTTTTGCAAGTCATAGAAACACATAATTATTTTCATGACATGTCTTCAACTTAGAATTTTTCACCATCTCCAAAACCAGAGTGATCACATAGATCCAGCATGGTTGAATCAAAAATGCTTTCTAAGATAATAGTGTTTCCATAAATGCAAGCAATCTTTGTTTAATATGTGTTAACCCTCTCATGTCTTGTGATAAACTCTTCCAAGGGAGCCTGAATTACCCGAAAGACAATCTTTCTCGTGACATTCAAGGGAGAGAACTCTCCCCCTTTTCTCAATTTGAACGATTGAAATTGGAGTATTATGTCAGAAAGCAGTTCTGAAAGTTTTAATAGCCAATACGATTGTTACATTTCTGCTATATAACTATCAAGCCATATAGCTAAAATTCCAAAATTATTTTATTTCTACAAATAATGTAGAAGAAAAACAAAGAGGTTTGTGAACCATTGCCAGTTTTAAAAATAAACAGTGAACTGTGTTGGTTTACCAATGAAATTCTCTCTAAGTGACGGAAATATTCAAATCTCTAGATGATTTGATTTTTGATTTTTGGTGTTTTTAACGCCACTTTTAAGCACCACTTATGGGCTATTTCATGGCGGCCAGTTTTTATTGGTGGAGGAAGCCGGAGTGCCCCGAGAAAACCACCGACCTTCGATAGGAAAACTGACAATCCTAGTCAATTAAGATTGGAGTCGAGTGCACCTGCACGAACAGGGTTCGAACTAACAACCTCAGTGTTGACTGGCTAGTGATTACAGTAGTAACTACTTAGACCACTCGGCCACCGAGGCCCTCAATCTCTAGATGATAGTGAACACAGGCACAGTACATTATGTTGTGTAATCATACAATGGAAATTGCTTCTTGTAACTTGGAAACATGTTTTATACTGTTAGAATAAAAAATAATAAAACTTACTTGTTCAATTTCAATTTAACATTTGTTGACCATTACATGTACATGTACATGTATATAATTCAATAACAATAATAAGGTATTCACAATTAAATTCAGAAATCACAGTCCCACATTTTACACCATGAACCATACATATATGGTTTCTAATACAAGGTGTCATGCATCAAAAAAATCACAATACCTAGCTGAAGTACTCTTTTGAAATTTAATACCCAGAATGCAATAGATTCTGAAATGGTAAGATGAATTAATGAAAATCAAAAACCTCTTGAATTAAACACTTTTGTTCTGTATGCTATGCAATGGATCATATATTTAAATGCAATGAACATAATAATGTATTAGAAACAACATATTTTTGTAGTCATACCAATTAAGGCAGCACAAAGTCAATAACACAACAAATATATTGACACCTTTACAATAACATTAAGGCAAGAGATCAACTCTTTAAATAACCATACCAAACTAATATGAACACTTTAATTGGAAGAGTCTTAAAAATAATAGATATATTATGTCTACCTTGTGAATTTAAAATCACAATCAAAATTAAATATGTAGGAATTGATATCACAGAGAGAACAAAAAGCACAATTATCTCCCGTAACCTCTGATTTGTTCTACTCTAGATGATGCAATTTTAAGTAAATTAGTGCCCTTTTGACCCCAATAATCAAGGTAATGTCAGGATAGTCCTCTTCTGGATTTAATGTTAATTTATACAAAAAAAATTAGTATTTTTTACATTTAATCTTACACACCAAGTGAAAATGGACAGTATAGTACTGTGTATTATGTATGCTCTAAAAATATCAAGATTTTAATGGCAAGAATTTAAGTGTTCATTAAGCTAATACATATTGATTGTAAGATATGTGCAAATGAATTTATTAATCCTGAAGAGAAATAAAAATTTTGATCAACAAATCAATATTCCAAAATGCCAAAGTAATGAAGTTATAAAGCATGTAATCTGATATTAATGGCTTACATTGACAACTAAACAAATAGAAAGACAAAATGGAAGTGATAGCTGAGTTGTGGAAAAGATGTGATTTGGTACATTAATTCATGACATAAAATCCCAACCTGATCACAAAATCCAAAACAGTCCTTTTATTGTTGTTCTTCATATTTTTCTTCATCCATTTAATTTCAGGAATCATCAGACCTTCCAAGTCTTAGTTCCTTCAGATCAATTAATAGCTTTTATATGTAGTATTTTGAGATTCTATTAATTTTTTACATGGCAGCACAAAATCAATAAAATGCTCTGCAGGGCACAGCTTGATACGACCGCAGAGGTCGAGCCCTGAACAGTTGGGGCAAGTATGGACACAACATTCAAGCTTGATACAGCTCTGAATTTGGATTGTGATTAAATATTTGACACATCATAGGTTTCTGACACAGAATGAATGTGGTCTGAGAACTTAAAAATTTTAAATTGGACATTCACCTATTATGGTCCAATATCCAAAATCTAAATACATGGTTAGATTCAGCATATCAAAGAACCCCAAGAATTCAATTTTTGATGAAATCAAACAAAGTTTAATTTTGGACCCTTTTGACCTCAATGTGGACAAAGTTGATAACGGGGCCCAAAAATCAAAAATCTAACTACATGGTTAGATTCAGCATACTAGTATCAAAGAACCCCATATATTCAATTTTTGTTGAAATCAAACAAAGTTTAATTTTGGACCCCGATTTGGACCAACTTGAAAACTGGGCCCATAATCAAAAATCTAAATACATGTTTAGATTCAGCATATCAAAGAACCCTAAAAATTCAATTTTTGTTAAAATCTAACTAAGTTTAATTTTGGACCCTTTGGACCTTAATGTAGACCAATTTGAAAACGGAACCAAAAATTAAGAATCTAAATACACTGTTAGATTCGGCATATCAAAGAACCCCAATAATTCAAGTTTTGATGAAATCAAACATAGTTAAATTTTGGACCCTTTGGACCTCAATGTGGACCAATTTAAAAACGGGGCCAAAAATCCAAAAACTTAATACACGGTTAGATTCAGCATATTAAAGACCCCAAGAATTCAAGAATAAAACCCCATTGAAATTGATCAAGAAATAAGCAATTTATACGAAGTATCTTCTTTTGCACAATACTGTGCAATTGAATATTTCTTGCTATTGCGCAATACTGTACAATTGACAATTTCTTGCTATTGCGCAATATTGTGCTATTGGATATTTCTTGCTATTGCACAATATTGTGCAATTGAAGATTTCTTGCTATTGCGCAATACTGTGCAATTGAAGATTTCTTGCTATTGTGCAATACTGTGCAATTGAAAATTTCTTGCTATTGCACAATACTTATTATATAATAATTTACACATCCTGTTTGGTGTGTATCTCCTACCATATCATTATAATTTGCTTTTAAATATAAATCAGAAATAACCAACTTAAAATGGAAAATTTTAAAAGAAAAAAAAAAGGAAAAAAAGAAAAAAAAAAAAAAAAAATCCCCCCCCCCCAAATTCTTTGAACCCCCTTATGATTCATCACCCCCAAACTCAATCCCAGCCTTCCCTTTGTGGTATGGTACCTTGCAGTACAATTTCAGAGAGATCCATACACTTGAACACAAGTAATTGTCTGGAAACTAGAAAAATGCTTATTTTTGGCCCCTTTTTGGCCCCCAATTCCTAAACGTTTCGGCAATTACACCCAAACTCAATTCCAGCTTTCCCTTTGTGATATGGAACCTTGTAGTACAATTTCAGAAATATCCAAACACTTACACACAAGTTATTGTCATGAAACTAGAAAAATGCTTGTTTTTTGCCCCTTTTTTGGCCCCTAATTCCTACAATTTTGAGGCAATTACCCCCAAAATCAATTACAGCCTTCCCTTTGTGATATGGAACCTTGTGGTACAATGTCAGAGAGATCCATACACTTACACACAAGTTATTGTCTGGAAGTTGCAAAAATGCTTATTTTTGGCCCCTTTTTGGCCCCTAATTCCTTAACTGTTGGTACCATTACCCCCAAAATCAATCCCAACCTTCCTTTCGTGGTATTGAACCTTATGGTAAAATTTCATGGAGATCCATTCACTTAAACTAAAGTTAGAGTGCGAAAACCAATGTGTCTTCGGACGACGACGACGACGACGACGCCAACGTCATACCAATATACGACCAAAAAATTTTTAATTTTTGCGGTCGTATAAAAATGTCATCAATTTCTCTGAAAATTCAAAATGTTACAGTAATTCTCAAAGGAATGAGAGTCACGTGACTGAATCAGACAAATAGTTGAACACCCAAAAAACTATCCACACACTATGAAGGAATTTTCATAGTACAAGTTTTCTATCTATCACAACCATATCCATAATTCATCATAATCCTACCCATGATTCATCACTATCCTACCCATAATTCATCACAATCCTACCCATAATTCATCACAATTCATCCCTTTAATTCATTTCAGCTATTATCAATGGCAAGTCTAATAAAGCACCTGAACTGTATATTACATGTAAATAAATTAAACATGTAATTTTTTTAACTAGTAAAGAAAGATAACTCTGTCATTTCCTGCCTAATCTGATTAAATATTTTATTTCCCTTTATCATTCTTATTCCATTATTTGTTAAACCTAGTTATTTTATCTTTTGTATTGTTTTGTTATCTTAATCCTAATTCATTTAATATTGTGATCTGAATTCTATCTATAAATTAAAATCTCTTTTTTTATCCAAATTTTATATTTTATTTGTTTTTAATACTTTGTCAGTCTGTTTACCCTAATCTTATTACATTTAGTTATCTAAATCTATCTTTAATGTATTTCTATGTTTTTGTTTTACTAAGTAATCAATAATCTATCTTATTTCACATTGTTATCTGAATTTACCATTTTTTCACTTTGTTATTGGAATTTTATCTTTTATTTCACTTAGTAATCCTAATTCTATAACTTTTCACTTCACTGTCAGGATTCTGTTTTATATTCTGTCAATTTTTTATCAGAATTTTATCATCATAAATGAAAATACAGAAGGGGCTAAAATCAGATAATGTGGGGATATTCAAAATCAGGAAATCTGTCAAAATCCAGAAAACTTTCATGTAAAACTTACAGAAACTATAGAAGTTATGATAAGTGCTGAAAAAATCAATATTCGTAAATTCAAATATAGCCTAAAAATATGTAACCTTAAGCTTAATGATTGGTTACCTACACTTGTACTTAGTATCATGCATGCCATGACAAACCTAACAAATCAATACATGTTTACTGTAAACTGACCCATAGTTTTCTCTCTCTCATTAATTAATCATACATAGTTAATTATCTCCAGAGTTCCTCTGAGTAAGTAAACAAGTCTTGTTGTTATTATGCAAAAGGTTATAGGAGTGTGTCTATGTATAATTTTCTGTTCTGAGATCTTTACTGCAGAGCAGACTTTTGTATGGAAAGACTTCAACGGCTGAATTGGTGAATTGTAAAAGTAATAAAGGTTTCATCATTTGTAAACAAATTTAATTAGTTTTAGTTTCACAGCCAAAAAGTAATACTTGTAAAACAGTGAAAAGTTTTGCTTTATCGATGATAATGGGGGTTATTAACGACCTTGACTGGCTATAAAGCCCTCGCACAGTCGGAATTTGATATATCATAAACCAATACTTTTTTTTCAACTTAATACATTTGAATGGGCAATAATTCTCTAACTTATATATGCTTAAATTATTATGCAATATATATATGGCTTATTGATGTTTTTGTTGTGCATTCACAGAAAGATATGATGCAGACCCAGTATTCATAACCAAATTTTTTGCCTCTCTCTTACATCACATGTGAAGTGATATTTTAAAATCAAGGTCAAAATTGAAATGACTAATTTCAAAATTCAAATTCAATTTTAAATTCAAAACCTATTTCCAATCTTTAAATGTATGCTTTTTCACATAAAAACTTTGGTATACTTTATAGATAGAGAATGTTGTCAATAAAATTAATTGGTATTTAAACAATGTAAAATAATAACAATAAAATAATCCCCTTCATCCTCTCCCAATATTTGTGAAAAACACAATCACATTGAGCAAATGTTCTCTTAACTTGGCAAGTCAAATATTTCTATCAATAAAGGTTCTATAGAATCTAATTTCATTTTCAGTAACATTTTAGTATGAACTTCATTTATATTCCTTAGGTCTGTCAGCTTCATTATGATCTTGGCAAACAATGTACTATCCTCCGGAAACCTATCTTTGACGTATCTTTGAAGAATTTTAGCATAACATTCTTGTATTTCCTGAATCTTATCCTGCTGCTGCAGTCCTGGTCTGTCAGCAGAAAACAAAGATAACATAATTAACAGTTTCAGAATTAACAAATCTCCATGTATAATTCTCATCAAGGACTTCACAAATTTGGAATATGTCAAAAACATGCTCTGTGTTTCAGGGTTTCCCATTTTGAGTATATTGGCTTCTAATTTCATTTCTTCTTTTTCTACGTTTCCAGTTTTTTTGGAGAGATCAATTCCAACAGATTGAGCAGATGCATCAGCACTCCTTGAGAATTCAGAAACTCCCATTCCTGCCATTTTTGATACATCGAAGCCAAAGCTAGCAGCACGTTCCCTTAGACTCTCTATGTCAAAACCCATCCTCTGGGCATGCTCTCTCATAGAATTGATCATATCCATATCAACTCCTCCACTGTTTCCTCGGAAAGAAGAATTTTTTGTTTCAGAAACAGAAGATGAGGCAGAATCTGGTGAGACAGGGGAGCTTATCTCAGAACTCATGGATGTGGACGTGGATGTGGATGATTTTCTTTCGTTTAGAGATGGAGTCAACATTTTTTTTGTACTCAAAGACCAAGTTTCTGTCTGAGCATCAAAGTTGACCGCTGACCGTAACATCAAAATTTCTACAACACTACCTTTTAATAATCCAATCTGATCTTCTTTATTTATCATCTTGAAAAATTCTATATATTTGGACAACTTGATAATTCGACGAACAAAGCCTTCGGCAACATTGACAAAATCGGTACTATTCTTTGGGGAGCTTTTCAAAACTGTCTGTGTATTTCCTAAGAATTCTGTTTGTTCATGAGCTCGTCTCAACTCTATAATAATTCCTTTCTCCATATCAGGAAACTGTGATATAATATCTTGCACAAGATCCTGACTTTCATTCCAAGCTGGATACTTACTGGAAATGTCTGCACTTACAGGACATGATTCACTTTCATTTTCTGATTTTAGTTTCATGAGCATTAACAAATCACTGTCTGATAATCTTGGGAATGTGGAACGAAGATCCTCAAATGACTGATTTCGTATTTGGTCCTGAAATGTATCAGCAAAATCCTGAGGAGAAGCAGCATAAGTGTCTTCTGGAGGTAGTTGTCCATGTTTACGTAATTTGTTGATAATTATCTTTTGTTTTCTCTGTTTCTTTTGTTCCTCATCTGTAAAAAAATCAAAACTTTGTATTTTCCAGAAGTGATTTTAGAAAAAAAAAATTAACTAGTGACTATAAAGAATATGTGTCACAAACCTGGATCTATGAGCCTCATCAACAGTTGCCACTCTCAAACATAATACACCAATACAACCGATGATGATGATGATGATGGATGGCTGCTTAACGTCCAGCAGCAAATTGATATGCATATTCAGGACGAGAACATGTTAATGTAACATGAATATTGACCCTGATTTGATCTAGATCAACACGCTGAACCGGATTTTTAACGTGCTAGTTCACAAGGTAAAAGTCCGCCAGAAGACATGTAACCTTACCCAGACACATTATTTTGACACCAAGCCAACCAGTCTTTGCTCTTACTCCTTAATACCGCTTGCTAAACAGAGAACAAGCAAATATCAATTTTAAAAGTCTTTGGTTTCAAACCCATGACCTCCTGCACTCAAGGCAAACCCAATACAATCATCAACATATATCATTTTTGTTGATCTTGTATTGCTGATCATTTTTGCTAAAAAAAAAACATTAAAAAATGGATAAAATCCTCATTTAAGGGTAATAACTCCTGAAAGTCATTCAATAGTTTGGTCATATTGGAATTTTTGTATCTAACTTGAAAAACATGCAAATTTTTTTTTATTAAATTGTCATTTAAGAGCAATAACTTCTATAAGGAGTCATCTAACAATTTTTGTCAAATTGTACAGAAGATAGATCTTGCTACTCTGAACATTTTTCAAGATAAAAGACAGAACTTGCATTTTACCCCTATGTTCTATTTTTAGCCATGTCGGCCTTTAGGCCAGGTGAGCTAAAAAGATACACATGTATAACATTGTTTCTTTCCAGTCAAAAGACCTTATAAATTTTCTGCTTTGCATTTCATTTCACACTAGTTAAATTGTTAATTAGAAATGTATTTTCTTCTGATTGGTAAACTTTGGAATGTTTCTGATTGGTTGGAAGTTATGATCACATGACTTTGACAGTTGTGGGGTTTCCTTTTACATCCTAACAAATTCATCTTCCAAGGGTTATACCTTTCCTTACAAGGAGGAGACCAGCTTAGTATATATAGGTTAAAATTACAAGACAAGAAACGCAATGTAGATCTTGACCTTTAATTTAATTTCTTACAATAACTTTATTAACTTATAAAATTTCACATTGATATCTGGAATTTAATTTCATGCAATAGTGTACGGTCCTACTGACATATTTTTGTAATGCAAGTTTCAAGCAGATGGAAGAGTTTTACATACAAATGTATCTAGGTGTAATTAAAGTTCTGAAACAAAGAACCCCCCAAAAAGGCTAGCTGAGATGTAAAATCAAAATTAAACTTAGATTAGGTTATCCATAGGTATCAACTTTGAAAGCCTCTAAAGGGGGAGATTTACCCCCAACAAAAGTGTTTTAGAGGAGATTTTATACCGTAGCACACCATTTTCTATGCCATTTCCTAACCTTCTTACTGTTACTTGTAATAACAACATAAATCCTATGTTCCTAAATTGAGGTAAATTATATGGCCTTCCAAATACCGTTTCGATCCCTAACATCACTGAAGAGACATTAATTGTCGAAATCCGGATATGGTGTACAAGTTTTTGCACCTCATGTTTGCCGAATACCATCTTCTCCGCAAGTTTATTGTTTTCTGTTTGGTATTAAATTAATAATTAAGATCCTATTACATCTCGTGATCAATTTATTTGGCAATCGTCAATGGCAGTCAGCAGGGTTTAAGAACATCAGTTGTTCGACCTGTTAGTCAAATGTGATTTGTTAAAATATACTTTTCACTTTTTTGGTCTTTTGGAAAATGTTGTTTGTGCTGTATTTAGACCCCTCTACCAAGAAATTTGTTTTACATGCACACGTATAAAAATTGTGGTTTTTATCCAACGCAATCATAGGTTTGAACGTTGTTTTCAATTTAGACTTTATTATACTAGTGGTATACATCCTTGCCTTTAGGTGTTTACATCGTAAACATCTCATACCAATCCATCTTCATTAGAACTTATTTTTACATCCATTTATAATAATTAACAAGTACACTTTTAAAGTGCAACTGTTGAAAAATCAATTTAGTTTATCAAAATTTTGTAGTTTTATCATAATGAAAAATACTCAAAATGCAAATGGAAATGTAAAAGTAATTGAATTTTGCAGAAATTAAATACATTGCAATTGGTCTTTTTAACTTCAAATTGTATATTTCATGAATTGGCTTCCTTTGACAACTTTATTCCTGTTTAAAGGTACTGAGTAAACAAATTTCGATTTCCTCAGGTTTTATCCAATTAGCATAGGCAAATTATGTGATCAATTAATATTCATTTTCGTTTCCCTCTGATTTTACCTGTACTTAAAACAATGCTTGAAAAAGGAAGTCAACATCTGGTTAAAGTATTGACAAGAAGCATGTTTTCATATTCTTTTACACAACTAAATGATAGTTCAAAATGAGTGTGCGACAATTTCCGCAGAGCAGATTCTGACTCCATTGCTAGAGACTACCATGAAGAGGGTGATTTAAAAAATTTTGAAAAAATATTAGGTTCCCAACGAGATCAGCAGAGTTGACACCTATGCAATTATCTAAATATCACCCCCTAATAAAATGCTCCGCAGGGCGCAGCTTGATACGACCGCAGAGGTCGAACCCTGAACAGTTGGGGGAAGTATGGACACAACATTCAAGCTTGATACAGCTTTGGATTTGGATTGTGATTAAATATTTGACACAGCATAGGTTTCTAACACAGATTGAATGTGGTCTAAGAACTTAAAAATTTTAAATTGGACATTCACCTATTATGGTCCAATATCCAAAATCTAAATACATGGTTAGATTCAGCATATCAAAGAACCCCAAGAATTCAATTTTTGATGAAATCAAACAAAGTTTAATTTCGGACCCTTTTGACCTCAATGTGGACAAAGTTGATAACGGGGCCCAAAAATCAAAAATCTAAATACATGGTTAGATTCAGCATATCAAAGAACCCCATATATTCAATTTTTGTTGAAATCAAACAAAGTTTAATTTTGGACCCCGATTTGGACCAACTTGAAAACTGGGCCCATAATCAAAAATCTAAATACATGTTTAGATTCAGCATATCAAAGAACCCTAAGAATTCAATTTTTGTTAAAATCAAACTAAGTTTAATTTTGGACCCTTTGGACCTTAATGTAGACCAATTTGAAAACGGAACCAAAAATTAAGAATCTAAATACACGGTTAGATTCGGCATATCAAAGAACCCCATATATTCAATTTTTGTTGAAATCAAACAAAGTTTAATTTTGGACCCCGATTTGGACCAACTTGAAAACTGGGCCCATAATCAAAAATCTAAATACATGTTTAGATTCAGCATATCAAAGAACCCTAAGAATTCAATTTTTGTTAAAATCAAACTAAGTTTAATTTTGGACCCTTTGGACCTTAATGTAGACCAATTTGAAAACGGAACCAAAATTTAAGAATCTAAATACACAGTTAGATTCGGCATATCAAAGAACCCCAATAATTCAATTTTTGATGAAATCAAACAAAGTTTAATTTTGGACCCTTTGGACCTCAATGTGGACCAATTTAAAAACGGGGCCCAAAATCCAAAAACTAAATACACGGTTATATTCAGCATATTAAAGAACCCCATGAAATCAAGAATAAAACCCCATTGAAATTGGTCAAGAAATAAGCAATTTATAGGAAGTATCTTCTTTTGCACAATCCTGTGCTATTAAATATTTCTTGCTATTGCGCAATACTGTACAATTGACAATTTCTTGCTATTGCGCAATATTGTGCTATTGGATATTTCTTGCTATTGCGCAATACTGTGCAATTGAAGATTTCTTGCTATTGCACAATACTGTGCAATTGAAGATTTCTTGCTATTGTGCAATACTGTGCAATTGAAAATTTCTTGCTATTGCACAATACTTATTATATAATAATTTACACATCCTGTTTGGTGTGTATCTCCTACCATATCATTATTATTTGATTTTAAATATAAATCAGAAATAACCAACTTAAAATGGAAAATTTTAAAAGAAACAAAAAAGGAAAAAAAGAAAAAAAAGGAAAAAAAAATAAATCCCCCCCCCAAAATTTTTTGAACCCCCATTATGATTCATCACCCCCAAACTCAATCCCAGCCTTCCCTTTGTGGTATGGTACCTTGCAGTACAATTTCAGAGAGATCCATACACTTGAACACAAGTTATTGTCTGGAAACTAGAAAAAAATGTGTTTTTTGGCCCCTTTTTGGCCCCAAATTCCTAAACGTTTAGGGCAATTACCCCCAAACTCAAACCCAGCTTTCCCTTTGTGATATGGAACCTTGTAGTACAATTTCAGAAAGATCCATACACTTACACACAAGTTATTGTCATGAAACTAGAAAAATGCTTGTTTTTTGCCCCTTTTTTGGCCCCTAATTCCTAAAATTTGGAGGCAATTACCCCCAAAATCAATCCCAGCATTCCTTTAGTGATATGGAACCTTGTGGTACAATGTCAGAGAGATCAATACACTAACACACAAGTTATGTCTGGAAGTTACAAAAATGCTTATTTTTGGCCCCTTTTTGGCCCCTAATTCCTTAACTGTTATTACCATAACCCCCAAAATCAATCCCAACCTTCCTTTTGTGGTATTGAACCTTGTGGTAAAATTTCATAAAGATCCATTCACTTAAACTAAAGTTAGAGTGCGAAAACTAATGTGTCTTCGGACGACGACGACGACGCCGGACGACGACGACGCCAACGTCATACCAATATACGACCACAAAAATTTTTTTGCGGTCGTATAAAAACTGGTCCACTAACAAAATCTAACCTGACCTATATTCTATGGTCCATGATATTATGTAAAAGGAGAAGGGATGAAGCCACTTTTTTGGCCCCTGATTTCATAAAACCAAAACGTATAGTAAATCAACCAAATAACAT